GTCCTTATAATAAGGATCCTATAATTTAGGGTACTACATTAGGGTCCCCTATTTTCGGAAACTCCCATATTGCTGCAGTTTACAGTGCCGGCTATGGGATTTTGGGCTCAGGGCCCTTAAACGATCATGGGACTTCGTAGCTAATTCAATAGAGTTAAATGAAAGGTAACGATACTTATGATCACTTGTAGCCCAATTAAGGTACATATAACCTTACTGAGTCCCATGATCCTCCAAGTCGGATTTGCGAAATAGGATTTGGAGTGTCTGGTTTGGGACGATTCCCGGAGCCTCGCAGTTTGACGCCCGCCCGCAAGCTCTAAGTCCGAATTCCGAACCCCGTAAGACTTCGAAGCCCAAGCCGTTCCTCCACCCTAAGCCCCCTAAAACCCCCAAGACTTGAACCGGCTATACACCTCCGAAGCCTTGTGAATGACCTCAAACCCGAAACCCCAAAACTTTACGCCCTTAAACCCCTTAACCACCATAAAACCTAAATCCTGAGATTTTTGAGTTCCAAAAAGGTCGGCGAGCTGACGATGGTCCCTTTTGGTCGGCTGTATCGGCCTGAGGCCGTCTGGTCTCCGTACCTTAAACAAGCGATACCCAGTCTTGAGTCTTGAGATAGCGGCTGGCAATGTATCGGCCTCCCGTCCACTTCATCCAGACTCAGAACTTGCGCATCATGCCCTCCCAACTCGAGTTGTTAGCCTTACATATTTTGTCTATCTTGCAAAGTCTGAGCATTTCTAGGCCCGGTGCGTGAAAGAAGTTGGCAAAAAGACAGCCAGGGCATCCGGGTTGGCTACGTGCCTGCTGTGGCATTGCGACCTCCGCATACCAAGGTCGCCGAGGACCCATGGAATAAATAGGGTTTAGGGTTTAGGGATGGTTTGCTTTGGATTTTGACATTGGGTTTGCAGGTTCAGGGTTTTAGAGTTCGGGTTCAGGGCCCTAGTGCTAGGTTTAGGGTTGATGGATTAGGCTTCTGGGGCTACAACCCATAAGAGTAGTTAGTACGTCCCATAGCCAAGAACAGGGATGTGCAAATAGCAACAGTACTTAGCATCAGTCCTCAGCAGCAATGGCTGCGATCCTGATATGTATTCAACTGTTACCGCAGCATGAAAGGTGGTATTAGCCAGTATCAAGCAACGATAACAACAATCTCTAGGTTCAGGCAGAATTGCGATCCTTGCTCGCACCGCCCACCGAGGGCCCAACCCAACCCGGCTAGAGCTCTCATCCCGCATCTCCCGAATTCAAGTCCCTTTAGTAGCGTGTCGGCAAATCCTATTTTGAAACCATCCCCCCCCACACATAGACACACATGCACACAGACAGACAAAGGTGGGCTCCCGGCTCAAGAAACTTGCGAGCTCAGATTCAGGGTTGGAGGTGTTCTTGCTCCATCGCGGCTAGAGACCCGGGGATCCCCCATCAGAAATGAGCTGTCGTCATAAGTAGGAAGCACACCGAAGTAGCCGAAAGCCTTGATGAGTGTGATAGGAGATCGAAGACGGCTGCCCCATCGACTTGGCAGATGGTGAGTCCGAGAGATTAGTCCAACTGTGTTTCGGCAGCAGACAGTGGGGTCTGGTCACGGGCTTCGTTCGGGTTTTGAGCATTGCGGTTGAAGGTTTAAAGTTAAGCGGCGAACCCTAAATCCTGAATCACACTAGCTCTAAACCTCAATCCTAAAACCCTGCACGCCCTCAAGCGCATGGAGAAGTCAGACTACATTACAAGGGCTTATACACTGCCGCGACACTGCCTGTCGGCAAGTTCAGCACGGGTCTGTCTTAGCCGACCATGAGCTGCAAGTCCAGAAGCTAAAGTCAAAGCCTTCGTTGAACTATATCCAAACTCCTCAACCCTAAACCCTAAACCCTAAACCGACCAACCACCCTAAATACCCCAGAAATCCTAAACCCCAGACTCAGTTCTGGCACTTACCTTCGAGCTATGAGCACATGGCCATGCGAAATCTTGCAAGAGATCATCTTTCAAACCCGCAACCCTAGACGCTGAACCCCCGAAGCCCTAAGCCCGAAGCCCTTAAACCCTAAACCCTGCCTCTGAAGCCCTAAGCCCTAAACCCTTAAACCCTAAACCCGGCCTCTGAAGCCATAAGCCCTAAGCCCTTAAACCCTAAACCATGCCTCAGGTTGGAAATCACCCCGACGAAGAGGCGAAATGGGCTGATCAGCTCCAGAGAATGTTTGGAGACAAGTTCTCACAGCTGAAGACACGGGTTAGGGCTTAGAGGTTACCCAAAGCCACAACCCAGAACTCCTAAACTTCTATAACCTCTAAACCCAAACCCAAAAAAAACCTAGACCCGCAGGGCCCAAAATTAAAACTCCCATACTAATACCCCTGAGCCCTGGACCCAAAGCCCAAATCGCTAAAGACTCGAATCTCCAACTTTCTCCTATGCCTCCTTAGGTCTTCACCCTCAACGGTTTAGTAAACGGGCCTGAACAATCGTCGTCGTTGTCATAAAGAACACAAATCATGTTAATAATAAGAAGAAGGAAGAAGACTGCCACCACAACGACGACTACGAGTAGTAATGGGAAGAAGAATTCGAACATTTCTTTATTGAGTACACCATAGTAGTAGTTTTTGTAAATTCAGTCTTATCAGTTTCATGATGGTCATAAGAAGTTTATTTGGTAGCACTACCCCTGCTAGTCCTTGTATGAACATATTATCATATACCCCTGCAGCCTTATTCTGATGATGAAGGCCCCTATGTGAAGTATCTCCTTTGGCGATCTTCGCCGAAAGGGTGGTTGGTCTTGGAAAAAATGCACGGTTTCAGGCTGCTAAACAAACCCTGCATGCATCCCAAAACCCTGTCAAGACTTTCAACCCCCTCCACCCATCTCCTAGCAGTGAGAAACGGAGCTCACGAAATAAATCTCCACAGCCCTCCACACCCCAAACCCCATGATCTCCGAACTCCTCAAATCCGAAGATAATCCCATGAACCCAACACGGGGACTTTCACTCTGGATGGGTGCCATAATACAATAAAGTATGTGGGCAATATATGGCATAACCGGATACAATACAGCATACCACAACACAAAATATGTCATAACACAACATATCCTAAGACAAGATATGGTCGGAGAATACAGCTTGTGGTATTGTAATATGTCATAATATGGCTTAATGTATTGTTTGTAATATAACATATCATAAGTTGGCACGTTATAGCATATGGTAGGTAAAGATGCGTTATCATCCCATGCTATATTATCGGCATATCACAGTATCTCATGTCACATACTGGAACATCTTGCAACATCAAAAGATATATGTACTAGAATGTAACTGATATGGTGTAGCAAACAGTAGTATTGTACGAGATAAAATGACATGTTATAGCACAGTGGACAGTATTGTATCAGAAAAATGAAGTGCAATACAACACAATCTACAAACATATGTTTTAGCAGAGTGGACACTCGGATAGAATGGATAAGAACAGAAAAGAATCTATTAGAATGGAGTAGAATAGAACAGAACATTATATGGCAGAGTATATGCTATGAAACAATCTGTCCTGTAGCAGAATAATATATAAGGTATTATATGGCATAGTATATGCTATGATAGAAACTGTCCTATAGTAGAATACTATATAGGGCGACCTATATTAATGTATAGTAGACTGATATACAAGGCAACCTATATTAATGTATAGTAGACTAATATACAAGGCAGCCTATATTAACGTATAGTATAGTAGACTAATATATTTACAAGGCAACTTATATCAATGTATAGTAGACTAATATATATAAGGCAAATCTAGATTGATGCATATAGTAGAATTAGTAGACTAATCTATAGACACTAAACTCTAAACCCTAAACCCTTAATAAGGCAAATCTAGTAGAATTAGGTAGACTCTTATATAAACACTAAACCCTAAATCCTAAACCCTAAACCCTGAATAAGGCAAATCTATAATGCTAGAAGTAGTAGAATGATATATGTGTATATATATATATAAGGCCATCTATATTACTGCAGCCTGAAGGATGCAGGACCTCCGGCCCGGAGAGGCCCAGTTGGTGGCGATTCTTTTGGCGGTTTTCCGCGACCCGGATGTGCTCGTTTTGAACAGGCCCTTGAGAAGCCTTGGGTTGAGGGTTTAGGGTTTAGGGTTTAGGGTATAGGGTTTAGGGTATAGGGTTTAGGGTTTAGGGTTTAGGGTATAGGGTTTAGGGTATAGGGTTTCGGGTTTCGGGTTTTTGGCGGTCTTGCTGGTGCAATCAGCGCGCGCTCAATTCCAAGCATCCCGGCGGTATGAAGAGCGCCAGTCTAGAGGCTGTACAAAACTGTGGGTTTCGGGATTAGGGTTGAGGGTTTAGTTAGGGTTTGGGGTTCAGGAAGCGGCAGTTCAGCAGGTTTGTTGTTTCGGGGTTATGGCAGGCTTTGAACTTCAACGGGGCACGCTTAGACTTGCAGCATCCGGCATATGGATGTTGCAAAACCTCGGGCAGGTCCACTCGTATCTCGCATATGGTTCCAAGAGACCTGCTCCCTACCTCGAGGGTCTGTAGTAGCATGATGCGGCTAGCGCGGCCGCCGCCCCCACATCGAGACCTATAGACCTGGGGTTCTGCTTTGTTCAAGCAATGTAAGTATACGTCTAGCTCTTGTGCAGCAGCTGCTTCGGTTTCGGTGCCTCACACCCAGATCCAACAGCCTGGCCTCAAACCCCGACATGCTGCCATAAAGCCCTGCAGAGCCCGACGGCGGCTGCGGCAGCGATGCTGGTGATGGATGGTGATGCTGTGTTTGGCTAGACTAGGCCATGCTCAACGTTGTCTGGTGATGCTGTTGCCTGTACTTCCTCATAGTGAACATGATGAATGCAGTGACGGTGGAGGTGATGATAACGACAACGTGTCAGGGCAGCACATGTATCATTTACTGTACTAGCATAGACAACTTGATGGATCTTCACCTTACTGTTTGCAGCGATCTTGAACAAAGGACCCGAGTCAGAGCCAGAACCGCAGAAGTAGCACGAATTGAAGAGTTACTGGTAATCACAAGCACGGTGGTCATCCTCCGCAGCATCACCAGCACTGTAGTTATCAGCAACACCATCCGCAGCGTCATCATGATTTGTCATCATCACCATCAACAGCCACAACACTGTCATACTATCACTATTCTCCTGAGCCTCGCCGCAATCCTCCTATCACCAATATCGCCTTAACCACCATCGTCTTCGGTATCATCATCACAGTTGTCGCCATCTCAGTGACCATCATCCCCATCATGTCTCTGTTTACCACCATCACCTCATCTTTATCCTCCTCATCATCATACTGAGCATCATCGTCGTTAGCTTTCCTGTCCTTGTCATCTTAATGGTGACTATCGCGATGTTTTCGGTGTTCAGAGAATGGGGCGAGTACAAAGACAAAGACATCAAGTTCCTTCCTTTCACACAACACTACCAAGGGTAGCAAAGGCCTGGTGCCGCTCATAGTGTCAACTGTTGACTGCCTACTGTACCCTAGCCCCTAAACCTAGGCCACGAACCCCACACCCATGTGCACCGCAGCGGTAAACATCGGGTCAAGACAGGCCCTGCGCCTTGTTGACCGACTCGCAGCACCGGAAGGTTCTTGATGACGGTTGGATTCATACATGTGGTACTTACGCCTTGGGCTTTAGGGTTTCTGACTGCAGGAGTTGGCTACTATCTGTCAGGGCTGCAATACTACCGTACTACTGCTGTACGACTAAGGCCCTACTACTGCGCTACTGCTGCAATTGTACTGCACTACACTACACTACTGTTACTGCGACGACGACGACGGCGACGACGAGTAATACTTCTGCTGTACCAAGGCGGCGGTGGGCAACGCCTAGTCAGGACGACGGAAAATGTTTGAGGGGGCACAAAGTGCAGTGCAACATGACGGGTTGTGTCTTCTTATGCTGGAAATGCAGCGCAGAGCGCTAAACCCTGATGCTAGAAACCCGTCTGTCCAGAATCTGATGCTGAAGCCCCTGTCCTAAGTCTCAAGGCCACAGCTCAAACAGCCCTGATGCAATTTCGCTGACAAGCTTCAGGGTTTGGGATATGGAAAGGTACACGAGGTGACTTTGTGACGTAGTTCTTGACAGAGTTTAGGGTTTAGCACAGGGGCTTGAATAATTGCCAATGCTAGCTTGGGATTCCTTTGCTTATAGTAGCTATAGTACTAATTGTTAAGGCCCTCAGTAGGTGTCACATAGGCCCAAAGACCCGCAGACGAAAGGTCTGGACTATCCTGGATTTGTGGCAGATGGGCGGTGCGGCACCTTGGTCTTGAGATCCTCAGCATGTCCGTGAATTTTGCAGCAAAAACCCAATAAAAACGGTGATAGGCTCCGACCCGACGGTATAAGGGTTTTGGGGGTTTTGGGCTTTTCGAGTTTCGGGGAGAAACCCCGAACTCTTCCGTATTGTGTCTGGATCGACTGCCTGGTTTGCATCACGTCTTTCGCGGTGATTTGGCCTAAACCAACAGTAGTCGTAATCAGAAGTACCATGGCCCGAATGCGATCTTGAGAAGAGTGGCCCCGTTTCGGTGATAACGATGACCTGACAAGGGCGACAGCAGTAAAACTCGACACGGGCAGCACGTTGCTGGGGATGCAGGCTGTGGGGCTCAATATGGGAGTTTCCGAAAATTGGGGTACCTTATTTTGGGGTCCTTATAATAGGGATCCTATTATTTAGGGTACTATATTAGGGTCCCCTATATTCGGAAGCCCTCATATGGCTAAAGAGTCAGGTCAATTCAAGTCAGCGGAAGCTCCAGATCTCCTTCTTCTATTGCAGAGAGGGAGACATGCTGGCAGTGCGTCTTTAGCCTTCGGCAAGAGCAATGGGCTCCGTGCACGGAAAAGCTTCGAGTACCGCGAGTGTGTTTGAGTTTGCTTATCTTGGCCCCTACTTTGGCCAGGCTACGTGTTAAGGACCAGAAGCTTTACGAGTCTGGTGCGCTTGATATCTTTTGGAAACTCCTAAAGGTCCTAAAGCCCCAAGCCCGCACAAAACAATAAAAAGCAACTGCTTAACCCGTAAAGCCTAAACCCCTAAGCCGGAAAACGGCCTTTCACAAAACAGCCCAAGACAACTAAGCCGTAGACCCGAAACCCTAAACCCTAAACCCTAAACCCCTGAAGTCCCCCAAGCTGGTGTGGCTGAGGCGAAAGTCTTGGGAAGCCTGGGTTTCGCGGCGGACTTGCCCCTCGAAAATAATGAATGGGCAGTTCTCTAAATAAGGGTCCTTTTTTAGGTCCCCAATATAGTACGGCACCCTTATAAAAAGGACCCTAAAAGGGACCCTAATATTGAAAACTACCCTAATGTAGGGGCCTGAATACTTACCTATACTATTTTGGGGGGTTCCTCATTATAATTATACCGTTCTGGGCCCGAAAACCCTATTCTAATGATTAAGGCCCCTACATTAAAATAAGCGTTTGGGGGCCCAAAAACCTGATTCTAAGTATTTCGGTCTGATTAGCCGAGTAAGCCTCGTGGTTATGAAAAGGGATCGAGGTCAGGACTGCTCGGCAAACGACAGGGGCATGACGAATCAACAGGTGTAGGTGTTTGGGGTCAACAGATTAGTTAGAATCAGGAACCCGGAGGAACAGCAATTGTATGTCTAAAGTCCCTTCATCTTATTTTGTTAGACCGCACCTGACTCTAAAGCATTCATGAGCGCTCGACTTCTTGTCAAGTGCGCCATCGCAAGCAAGTGCCAGCATCGTTTGTGAATCGCTTCCAGGATTCGAGCAGTGTTGCTACCTTCTAAAGTTGGCCAGGCACGGGCATGTTGTGCTACTAGTACTATTCCTATCATTATTGCTAGTATTACTGCTATTATTCCTGTCACTGCTTCTATGACGATTACAAGCACCATCACCATGACAATTACTATCACCATTACTATTAATGTTCCTTTACCACTACTATTACTATGGTTTGGCCCTAAACCCTAAACCCTAAACCCTAAACCCTAAACCCACAAACAAGAGGAGACCCGAAAGGGCGTCGCGTAGCAGAGGCCCTCAAGGTCCGGCGCGCCTCGTCGCAAGCGGACCGTGATAACTTCACAGCAGGCCAGGGTGAGGGTCTAGAGTTTAAGGGGAGCATCAGGTTTAGGGAGTTTAGGGTTTAGGGTTTTCGGGAGTTTAGGGTTTAATGTTAGGGCTTTCAGGAGTTTAGGGAGTTTAGGTTTTTAGGGTTTAGGGTGCGGTCAACTCAAGGGCTGTGGCTAACATGTTGGGGAGCGGTTTCGGTTCAGGCCTAGGGGGAAGATATGGCATAAATGTCGCACACATATACCTACATTGTATATATATATATATATAATATTATGTTGTATTATATCTTATTATACTATATTATATGATGTTATATGGTAAGATATTATATATGTATGTATACATTATAACTTGGTGTTCAACGACCTCTGGTGTTTAGAAGGTCAGAGACTTTGGTTTTGGTGGGAAGTTTCGTATGCTTCCAGGAGGTTTAGGGCCTAGATTTGAAGCTTTATGGTTCGGGGTTCGGAAAGTTCGGGGTGGTTGAGCTCTACGAAATAGAGCTGTAGGGTTTTGAGGCTTAGATGTTGGGGCTTTGTGCTTCTTTGTTCAGTCTAGTTCCAGCAATCCAGATTCGACGTGGATCCCCATTCATGCCAGGACTTGGCGCTGAAGCTTGTCGGCAACTGCTGTCGCATGTACGGCGGCACGAAAGGCGTTGTCCACCTTCATGTTCAAACCTTACCATCCCTAAACCCTGAACCCTTGCCATCCTGACTCATCGATGGCCCGTGCATGAGTTTCCGGGTTGAGGGGATGACAGAATGGTGGCTTCTCGATACTCGAAATAGCTGGCCACGAAGAGCAGGGCAGCCGGCTCAGCGATGCACTTGCTTCTAATCGTCTGTAGCATCCACTGAATGACGGACTTGGAGCATCAATCGGCATGCAGCACATGCTGTGTACTGCAGAAGTTCGTCCAGATTCAGCACACTTGCCTTTGCACCCCAAGTTAATTGTGAGCTCCAAGAAAACCCCAAGTACTACAGTTTAGCATAGTGCGAAGTGTAGTCTTGTGGTATTTCAGCATGATGCGCCCAGGGATCCAACTTTGAGTTGCTCGGTCTACGATTTGGACTTAGACACTGGCAAAGGTGTGCCACTTGTCAGCAAGATGAGCTTGTCCATGCAGATTCTCAGCTGTCGTGACCTAGCTGCGCACGCGCCATAAGGTTCGTCCCACGTGGCTTGGCATGCATGGTTGGCGATGCTTCTTCGTGTGGCATGGGGTTGCAGCACCGCATGCGAGTTTGATTTCAGACTATCTTCACTGTAGACCCTAAATACTGGACCCCAAAGCAGGACCCTAAAAGACAACTGGGCATTGCTATATAGCGGTAGCCAAAATTTAACCCAAAAGGGAACTCTCAGTCCTTCCAGCTTGTTGATTGCTGCACGCTTACGACTTCAATAGCACTCCCTGATGCGTTCTGTGCCAAGGTAGCCAGACGAGAACATCGTTTTAGCTTTGGGCGGGGGAAGTGCTGAGAGACTTTCGTGGACACTGTTTTTTAAAGTCAAATAGCGTCCAATGCATGTATGGACTGATATGGAGTCCCTGCCTGTCAGGAAACTCTTCAGTGTGTTTCGCAGACGAGACTCTGCTAGAGATTATCATGGCGTGTTTGACCCTAAACCAACCCTAAACCCTAACCCTAAACCCTAAAGTTTCCAAGTCTTTCAGATTGCTGTCCTGCTTTCCCAGCCCCAGCACTCCCGGCCCATGGCCTGTCGAGTAAAGATCGAGGATTCGTCACTGATACTCCTGTATTAATTATGCTAGGCTTATTGTATGGTGTACTGTCGTGATTATGGTTTCGTCTAGTCTAGTCTAGTCTAGTTTTGCATACTCGTTTTCTGTAAGGGCTTCAGGGGTTGCGGCGGTTGGAGTGTTTGTATTTAAGCTTTGGGCGTCTCGGCGACAGACTTGTCAGAATCGTCCAGTGCAGGGTTCCCTTGGTGTGAAATCTTTTCTGACGGGCACGCGGAAGGTCAGCACCGATTTGCTTGTTTTTTCGTCGGATCGTGCCGTCACAGTCCAGCTTAACAGCAGAGATATATTGGCACATGATTTTGGCCCAGGACGATTTTTCCGGCAGGTGTGCAAACTATGTTTGGCTGGACTATGTTCGGCAACTTCAGAGAGTGGGGTCTCGAGACAATGTCGCGCTCTTCTCTCTCGCCGCGCAGACACGCGCAGGCATGAACAACACCTTACCAGAAGCTTAAGAAGAGTCTCTGGCCTGTTCCCTGGTGCGGGGTTGTTTCGAGCTGAAGATATCTGAAGCTGAATGCAGTGGTGCGGTCTTGGTTAATCAGTTATATGGCATCTATGGCACAATGGTACATTCTCCTATCCTGCAGTGGCAAAGTTGGTTTAAAACAACCCTCCATGAGTTGTCGTGGCAGAATCTGAAAGATCTGTTCTCTGCCGCTGCCTGACCTAAACCCTCATTGATTGTTCGCACGATGGCTGCTACCGAATGCGACATTGTGCCTGCAACTTCACATTGAAAAGATTTGTGGTCACTGGCATTGCCGCACCATCTGCTTGGCTCCACACAGCCTGAGCATGAAAGCTATAGCGCCAAGAGCGCTGGGGCTGCATCCTTGGGCGACCACCGGTCCTTGCGCAGCATTTTGGGCTTGAGCCTGGGTAAGATGAGAGGGGTGAGCTCCTCCTGCTCGCAATGAAGATCGCACGGCTCAGAGCTCAGTCAACCTGTGACAGCACACGTCGAATGTCTTTAGGCGGGAGCATGAACGAGTTCCCCAGCAAGCCTTTTCAGGTACTGGAGCAAGACCGGGGCGTGTGTTTAGCTGGAAAGGTCCCAGACAACCTCGTGCGGCATTGCTGTTCTGAAGTCCAGACAGAGAGCTAAGCCCTATAGAACCCTTTAAAGGAACCCTTAAAGGAACCCCATAACTCCACTTATAACTACCCCTCCCCCCTACAAATGCAAATTGTCCGAGTCGGCCCCAGGTCCTTGCTAGTCGCAGCTGCCTGCTATCATGTGGCTCAGAGTGTCGCAGGGGCCCCAGAAACATGTTCTGTTGAGACTTTTTGGTTTACCGTGATATCGCATATGCGGCTTGAATAGACTAATTGTCTGTGTGTGGCTGTGTGCCGTGCACGTATGCATGTGCTATGCCCGCCTCCTGCGGCGGTGACCTGGTGTCCCTTATGCTTTTCAGGCAAGTCGGATTCTTCCGTATGCTTTAGCAGTTTTCTGAAGCTCGTTGTTCATAGATGTCTTAGTCTCAGATGTTCATGTGACATGTCCTAGACAATGCGACAATATGAAACGAACCTCAAGACCCTAAGCCCAAACTTAGAACATGACAAGGCTGGGTTTGTAGGTTGAGGGTTTTCAGTTTGCGGATGGATCCCATTCTTTTGCAGCAGCAGATACTTCTGTGCGAACAAAGGCATTTTAACGGTCAGATGGACGGCCACGCAAGTTTAACTGGGGCTAGATATATAAAGTATAAGATCGTATTATATATATATATATATACACACACACACACATTTGTATATATGTATACACACACATATGTACCTCCTTATATATATATATAGATATGTATACATAATATGCTAGTCATAGCCAAAGCTGTAGAACATGAAAGACTGCCAAAGGTAATGGCGAAGTATGAGGGCGGTTATCCTTGTTGCAACGGTGGCTGCAAGCATACAACTTGTATAAAGAAGATCATGCGCATTGCTACATACCCATGATGTGGGTCCGTATTCCCTTCTTCGAGGGTACAACGAGGGTCCTGCTCGCGGTCTTCGATTTCACATTCCTGCATAGGTCATTCTCAAAGCTGCCTGAATCCTAACGCCCAGCTTCAGGTGGTGCAGCGCGACGTCGGAAACCGTCTGTCATCTATGCAGGCACTGACCTGTGTCGGGGTATTGCTAACTGTCGTAGCAGTAGCAGCAGTTGTCGTCATTTTGGCCGTAGCAGAAGCCCCTGAATAATTACCACTGGGTTCCTTACAGTCATAGGCTAATCTGCCCCAAACCCCTATTCTATTTATTAAGGCCCCCATATTACTCCAGGTCTTTGCCCAAGTTCCAGGTCCTGTCTTTGCTAGCGGAATGAATCTAAACCCTAAGCCCTCAACTCTGCAAGCCCAAACCCCACAAACCCCAAACCCATCCGAAACCTGAGCTCGAAGCCCTATAAATCCTAAACCCAAGACCAGGCAGCTTTCAACCCCCGCTCCCTTCACCCCAACTCACAACCTCTGAGTGGCCGTACGATGTCCTTTTCCATCGGTCGGAATGATTAGCAACCTGTTGTTCCTTAGTATTTCGATGAGCTCCTGAAAAGTCATTCAGTGAAGTAGAGACAAACAATCAGGTTCTGAAGAATGGTTGCTGGTGATAAAGCAGTTATATAGTATAATACACCCCAAGACTCTAATCTAAGTCCGAATATTAAGGCCCCTTTGTTCCACGTTGAGTCCGAACACGGGGCAGGACCTGGCAAGCAGTGATCAGTTCTACGCCGGTGTCTTCCGGACACAGGTGCTTGGATTTACCGCGATCTTGAGACATCGGTTTAGGGTTTAGGGTTTAGGGTTTAGGGTCATCTGCTTCAATGTTATTGATCTCGGATGTTTGGGGTGCTTTCGCAGGAAATCCCTGAACCCGAAAAACCCTGCAATCTAAATCCTAAAATCCTAACACCCTGTGCCCAAAACCCCTAACGCCCCAAGCGCGCAACCTTCCACTCTCGATGTTTGAACTTTGCCAGAATCAGCGCAGTGTCATCTGGGAGTTGCCGAAAACAAGGGGTACCTTATTTGGGGTCCTTATAATAATTAAGGATCGTACTATTTAGGGTGGTATATTAGGGTCCCCTATTTTCGGAAACCCCCATCTGTTTCTGCTTAGCGGCTTGACTCTCACTGAGACTGAGATTCGTTAGTGTCATTAGGAAGCGTTTTTGGTTTTATCAGTGTCATAGAACTCCAGGGCATTGTCAGGAAGCAAATGTTTATTGTTCCAAGGGCACTGAAGGCTTATGGATTGCGATATTGAGTATATCATTAAACTGCCAATAGTTGTATGTATTATGGCTACATCACGATGATTGCGATTGTTGTTTCCTGCTGAACATATGACTATGAGTAACCCTTTAAAATCCTTAACCCTAAACTGCTGTTTCTGGCTGTTGTGTTGTACTTAAATCCTAAATGCTAACTGATATATCTTGCTTCCCGGAACAGGAGGCCGAGTTAATGAAGGTCCAGGAGATTGCGCGGAGCTTCGAGGTGCCTTAGGGTCTAGAGTTCAGGGTTTAGGATCGTAGAGTTAAGGATAGTTTAGGCAATGAGCCTTTATTCGGCTTTAGGGTACAGGGTCAGGGTACAGGGTGGTGGTGCACTCTTTGAAGTGAGGCCGAAAGAAGGGCTCACTGAGTTGGGGGCTTTAAGAGATTTGTTTAGGGTTTAAGGTTTCAGAGGTGCATATATAGGGTTTAGGGTTTGGGTTTCGGGTTAAGGGTTTAGGGTTTGGGGACTCTTTCGGAGCACAAGTGATACCCCTTTTTGCCTAGCCATTCGACCCGTTGCTGCTTGGCAAGGTGTAGCTTGAGTGTTCGGTTGCTGCAATGTCGTGGTGTAACTAATACTAGTACTAAGGCTAAGACTAATACTACTGCTAACACACATAATTATTAATACTAACACTAATCCTACTACTAACAATCATAATAAACCCTTCGGGCTGCATCTTGAAACGAACAAACCCTAAAGCCTAAACCCTAAACCCTAAACGAGCCTTTGCGTGTCGGAGGCTCCCGAGACAGCGCAGTTGCTGCCTGCGTTGGAGATGCTCCGTGGCCTGTACCAGGATGGCAAGGAGAGGATCTTAGGGTTTAGGGTTTAGGGTTTAGGATCTCCAAAGTTTCTGTCGCAACAGGGTTGAGGGTTTAGGCTTATGTGCACTCTGTCATTGTTCTTGCCGTTTGACCATTACAAGGAAGATTGATGTTTCCTGAGCCCTAGCTGGCTGGAGGCATGAGCTTGCAGGTTGAGACTAACCGTCTCATTAGGACACAGAGAACCATGCAAGAGAGGTTTAGGGATTTGTTCGACACCTGTCCATCAGCATTCAAGGATGCAGAGTCAATCCTCAATCCCAAAGCTTCTTATTCTTAAACTCACGGCCGTAAAGCTCTCAACCCCAGACCCCAAACCCTCAACCGCCACCTGCCATCAGGAGCGAATCACCGAGCTCAACGCCAAGGAGGAAGACTCGAAGAAGGCCTTCACTGAGAAGGAGCCGGGAGCCTCTGGTCGTAAGGATCCTTCAATTTTTGGGCGGGATCCTCAGTAACCCTTAAAGAGACTCTTGGGGTTATATAGGGGCTTGATAAGACTATGTAAGGGGTGCATAAGGGTTATAATTATATATATAATGGGCCCCTAGCTACTAAGGTTACTAAGG